AGTAATGTCCCTACATTTTTGGAGGGGTTATTTGAAACTTCGGCTACATAAGATCATTTCATTATATTGATTATAAGATCACTATTTTACTGAAAATGGCATTTTATCATAAAAGTGATGTTCATGTGATGGACTTGAAAACGCTCAACGTGGCTCAAATGTGTTACTCCTGGATTTCAACTGTTTGTTTTTGGGTGGTTGTAAGTGTCGAATGTTTAGTAAATTCTTGATTGTTTAGTAAATTCCTTTTGGGTTTTGAAAGGTAGGGTCTAATTTGCTCAATTAGTGCACCTAATCTGGTCCTGTTTGAAAATATTCTGGAATCAATGGTTAGTATTAAAAGGTCACCTTTTCCCTGCAGCTATCATTTCTTGGCAACTGACGTATTTCAAAGTTCATGTATTTCAAATAAGAAATAATTGGTTTGTGTCTCTAGCTCTGTGAGGTTTTCCATCTATTTGGTGATAACACTGGTTAGATTGAGGCCATTTGTTTTGCCTTCATAGCACCAATATGTTTTTGCTGGGCTCTTCTGTATTCTCCAAGTGTTTCAGAATTTCAGTTGTTACTTTAGGTGATATTTTTCTCTTGCTACAGTTGCTAGAGTCCTGGAGGCTATACCTCCAGCTGAATTTCATGCAAATAAGAATCAGAAGGTAGATAAGCTCAAATCTCTAGCAGCAAAGAGCCATTTCTTTCTTCGGTTATTTTAATCTCAGTTTGACATGCAAAGGGTGACTTTCTCTTCAAGATGTAAGTCTCTCTGTTATCCTCATATTAAAAAATGTGATTGTAATATGACTGATTGTCCAGACATGGAGAAATCTGGGTTTTCTTCTCTCTCTGCTATAAACCAGCTGTGAGCCTTTGGGCTCATTTTTCGTGCCTGTGTTGAAGCCACATATCTGAATGAAGCAGAAATAATAGGACTCACTTCCCTTCATTAGAAAGCTAGTGAGGATCTGGGTTATTCTACTAGCAGCAGTCATATCTTCACCTAAGACAGACGTCTTTGCACCTTGCTAAAATAATTGCTGCAGGATACTCTTACTGGATTAGTTTTGTAGACACAATAAACTTTTAGTATGCCCACAAACCTGGCTTTCCTTATCTTATAAAAGACATGCTGATGCAAGATCTGCTTAGGCATTATTTCTGAATATTAGGTACAGGCTAATAGTCTTCATCTATGAAAATGCAGTTTATTTGTGTTTTTACTCCAGCTTCATGAAAGCTTTACTCTGCTTTAGCACAATGGAGCCTGTGCTTGGTGAGTGTGCACCAGAGCTTCATTTATCTCCTGTTGTTGAAACCTTTTTTTCTAAAAAAAATCTTTTTAAAGACTGCAGAAAAGTTCTTACCTTCAAGACCCAGAGAAGCGGGTAGAGAAACTACCTCAATTTGTAATTTTAAGAGAAATTTGACAAGAACTATATATGCATTCTGACATTTAAATGGTGACATTTTCAGGAGACTACTGTTCTTGGTTATGAGATGCTCTGCCCTATCTGTTACTGTCCAGCCCTCTGCAAAACAAATCTAACATGCGTGATAGAAGCTCTTGCTCTAAATTGATAGTATCTTGCATTTATTTTGCATAAATGTAAATGATGATGCAGAGTGCCAGGTAGTGGAAAACTTTATTCATTTAGGAAGATGGGAAGAGAGGGGCCACCTCATTAATCACATGTAGTTCCCTAGAATTGCATGCAACTATGTCATACAGTCTGTGGATAGATGATTTCTGTGCTACAATGGCGTAGGCTGCTTGCTCTCACTGCGATACTGGAAGCTTCCTCCAGAACCACAGTGCTTTGGTGGGGAGGAGTTTTTAATGCTCTTTTCATTAATCCTGAGGCAGAAAGAACTGGAATTTACAAATGGGATAATTTGCGTTTTTTCCACTGCTGAATCTTTGAAATCCCCTGTCATGAGTTATTCTTGTCCTGAATGGAATTACCAAACATCACTTTAGAACTATTGCACAAAGCTAAGGAAAGAGACTTTTTGAAGTGATAATAGTAAAATACTAGTGATCTGTAAGTCTTTTGACAAAAGATTTTTGTAAAATCTTAGAATATTACAACTAGTTTGTTCCATTGGGAATCATTTGGGGAATGGATTTGGAGGCTGAGATTTCCAGAAGATTACACTCTTTATTTGCAGCTTTTACTCCCTTAAAGCTACTTCAACTTTTCACCTAAATGAGGAAAATTGAATAAAATTTCCAATCACTGATCAGACACAAGTCGTCTGAACACACTTAAGACACTTGTAAATTTGAACTTCACTGTAGTGCTTATAAGTCTGGCTAGGAATTGATTTACTTTCCAGTGCTGAATCCATTGCTTTCTGAGAAAGTCCTTCCTTTTGGAACCATTTCTCTTCCTGCTGCGTCATGTTGTCAGAGGCCCCATTAACTCAAATAAGATTGCTTGTGTGAGTGTTCACTAGAGTGAGTAAAAATTGCACAAGAAGATTTCTACCATCTTTTCGGTGCTGTTCTGTTTTAGCATCACAGTTCATCAAAAATGACAGTGATGTATGGCAAATCTCCAAGGTCTTCATTGCGTTGTCATTAAAAGTCTCCAAGCTGAAACACCATATAAGAAATGCAGCAGACAGGTGGCCAGTAACTTCATAAAGCGTCCCACAGGGACTCTGTACTAGTACCACCAGGCATTTATCTTGAAGAATCTGCTTTTAAAACAACTGTGATTATACATTTAAGGGAGGTACAAATAAGGACTTTTATGGCTAAAGCACTTCAGGTAAATTTTACCTTTTATTTCTTATCTATTCGAACTATTTGATATTCCCTTTTTCCTATCCTTCCTGCTACCACATCAGATTTGCTACCTCATAAACCTGGTGTTGACTACCAAGGCAGGATCTTGGCTGAGGTTTTCTGATTATCAAAGGAGGTGTTCTGCCCAATTTTCTGTGTTCTGTTGTTTGCCCAACAAGAAGCAGTCTGAAATGCACAATTGCAATTGTTACCCAAAATCCAGAATAGATTCTAAAAAAATTAGAAAAAGACCTGAACCACCAGGATAGTGAAGTCTGGAGACGTCAGAATGTCTTTCAGAAGACTTAGTGGGTAGGAGAAGCTGTGGAGTCAAGTTTTAAAAATGTAAAAAAAAATTGAAATATAGCAAGGTCCTACAGCAAGTCAAATATTTATTTGTTTACCAAGTTACTTTGTCCACAGTGAGTACACCTTCCCTTTTAAATATCGCTTTGCTTACACCAGCTGTTAGTGTTCTGACAAATGGTCAGTATGTCAGGAAACCTCAGCTGGCAGGAAAATTTTACTAGTGCACCTCTGCTACTTCTGAAGCACATTACAGTGCAAACTAGCCAACAGAACACAGTAATAAAGAAAATTTTCTGCAAAGACATGTTTTTACGTATTAGTAGTGAATACTCATTTCTTACGTTCTAAATTTCACAGAAGTTCAATTCTCAAGAGCTTTACTTCTTTTTGAACAAAATAATTATTTTATATAGTCTTTTCCCATTAGTGCTTATAGCTAACATTCCTTGGTGTACCGTTTGTTTTCTTTTTCTGTCCATGATTAATACAGGACAGATTAGGCAAAAGTACCAAAGGCTTTGTTAATGGTTTAGGATATTTTTCTTAATTTCTTTGGCTTGAAGGCTTTCTTTGTTCATTTAAATAGTAATGACTCTCTATTTATGTAGCTATCCAGAATCCATTATTAAAGTTGAAGTGCTTGTTTGAATGGTCCAATATGAGAAGTTAGAAAATAATTATAAAAGAGACTTGTAGCAGAATTTCTTTCTGCTGGGAAGGGAGGCAGAATTGAATGGAACTGACTAAGTGCTAGCACTTAGATAATATTGGTGCTCCTGCTATGCATGATAGAAAATACTCTGTTTTCAGTAACAAGACTCCAAATCTTGTGATTGTTTCCTGAAAACTAAAAAATTATGCACGGTCTTCATGGATATTGTGCCTGCACTATGCATGCCTAGCATTTCTTTATCTCTGTTATTATTGTCAAAAATATTAACATGGAAACATGAGCTTTGATTTTATGAGGTGATCAGTTTATGCGACTTAAAATTCCTGGTTAAGTTTCATGCAGTTTGGCCTGTAGAGTAATTAATAACTATTTAGGAAACTGGCAATGAAAACCCTATATAAGTACTATTGTGTTCCAAATTATTATTTTGCAGCATGCTCTGGCTGTTATCTTTGTCTCAGTTTTGAAGTGGAGCCGTAATTGCACCTTGCTTACCGTCTCCTTCAGAATAAGGTCAAAGGCTATTATTTTACTCTTTTTTGAAGGGTCAGATTCTGGCATGTCCTCAAAGTTGAAAATTATAAAATTTAAGAACTCTGATAGAAAATACTGTCTAGATTACTGATCCCAATGAGGAATAGAATTCAGCATGAATTCTAAATATCTTTCTTTCTGTTGTTGAAGTACATAATCCAAAATACAGATGTCAATAGCCCCAGCACTAAAGTGCATTTGGGAAGCTTATTCATAAACAGGTGACTTGTGCAACGCAGGAGTTCATATTGTCTATGGTAGAGCCAACACCCACTTTGGAATGATTCTAGTTAAAATCTGTCCTCTGAATGTAATGCCATAAAATCCCTGCCACCCATTAGCAACCACTTGCACATTCCTAGCTTCTTGTTCATCTGTTTAACATGTCAGCCTGTCATGATATATCTTGCATTCAGGTGAGGAATTCAGAACACCAGCTATCTACTTGCTACCTATGTTTCACTGTAATTTTCAATAAATTATTTTATCATTTACTACAAACCTTCTGTCAAAAGGGCATACTTCCTAATAGGCCATCATATGGTAAAAGCCCATTTTATCTTGACATCTCATTCAAAAGACTTCACCTATAAAATGGCACTCAGTACGCTCATCACAAAGTGAATGAAATATTCACTTTTGTAAGAGTATTTATTTTTCCACACTTTAAAAATAAACTTATTTTTTTGCACATACAGGTTTAATAATGCTGTAGTTATTTGAGAGCACAAAAGAGTTCTCCTGGGTCATGGATTCCCTTCTACTTTGGCTGCATTTTTGTCTGTGTGACTAATGGTTTGACACAGGCTGTGCCTCAGTTTTAAGAGCTGACTATGCTAGCTTAATTCATGTTTTCCTCATCTTACACAAACACTTCTTTCTAAACCCTATTTCTAAAACATATATCCAAAATTTTGGCTGCTTCTTCTGTTAGACTAGACCCTACTATAACTTTTTCCTTTGTTTTAGAAAATGATTCCACAAGTTCTTCACTCTTGTTGGAACGCCCAGCACAGGAGTGTGGACACCTGCAGGGATTTTGATAAAATCTACTGAGATATTTCTGCTCCAAAATTTTCCAAGTTCCCCTAAAGTTTTGTTTGTATTTTCTGTTCAACTTGGCTACTGCATCCTATTTTAGTACCAGATATCACTGAGTCAGTCATAATTTTTATTAAATAATGAAAATGAAAGTGACTTTCAAGCTTTGAACTAAGCTGTAATGAAAATAAATTTAAATTAAAAAAAAAAAAAAAACCACAACAAACCACTTGTGGCATTTCTACTGCAAGAGCCCATCACTCCTCCTTGAAAAAAAAATTTTTGAGGAAACAATACAAATTGTTAAATTATTCACAAATTCAGAAAAAACACATGATAAGGCACTAGACTTAAATTTAAGAGGCTTATTCAAGGAGACCTGAGTGCAACTTCTCCTGCTTTGCACTCACACATAAAAATGAGTATAATTCTTTTCATGTATCAGACATAATTTGTGCCTTGAGCTGCCAATTTTGCCAGCATATTTTGTTGGTCACACACCCAGTCATAATGCCAATTCCAACTACATTTTATGTCCATAAAACTCTGATTCCTTTCTTCATCTGCTGTGTTTTCTGTATAACTTGGAAGAGAAATAGTTATTGCATCCTTCTCATCAGTGCTTTTTCTAACTTGATTTTCAATATTTTCTCTAGAGTATCCCCCTCAAAATCTTTTAAGACAGTTTCTTTGATAGTTAATATAAGCTTTTCTCTACAGTATTCTGAGGCTGTGAATAATTCCCTTATTTTGTTTATACTTCATCCTGGGGAAAGTTTGTAGGTTTATTTCTGAAATCAGTGAGTCTTTTATTTTGAAGACTTTGCAAACATGGCTTTCAGCCTTCTTAAGTCATATTCTCCAATAACTGCATCAGAGCTAAGCTGATATAAGCCAAATTTAAACTGATGTATTGCTAGCAGTATTTCCAAGCCACTTCTGGTTTTCATGTTGGTTTAATATCATGCCTTTTGTTATACCAAAGCAGATCATGTATGCAAGAACTCTGAAATAAATCAACTAAACCAGACACTAAATCAAGTAAAAGAAATGGAAATTTATGACACTGTTTAATTCACCAGAACTCACTTTTCCTGTTAATATTCTCAAATTCAACTTTTCCTAGACAGTTACTAGTGTAATAGGAAAAAGCACAGCTAAATGATATTTTGGGAACAAGGAGAAAAACAATACTGATGCTCAACTCAAGTACCAGAAGTCATGCCATTAATTGACATGTAGAAAGTACTCAATCCTCATTCACTGGATGTGTAACCAGCTTTTTACTTTGGCATTTTTCTGCTATATGAAAAATACTACCCAACAGTATAATTTTGGTAGTTTTACACAGGTAAAGCCAGAGCAGACTGTTAGATTAGCTGAGCTAGCACCTTGTGTCTCAGTTTCTTACACTTGATCCAGTTTCACCTGTCTTCAGCCTAGTAATTTCTGGTTAACTGAAGGCCGACTTTGAAAAATCCAACGGTGATTTGAAAGCAGTAATGGGTAGACAATCATAATTTCCCTTGATAGTTTATCTTAGTGATTCATAACATTCAATCATAGAAACATGTGCTTTATTATAGTTTGAAGGTATCTGTCTGCAGCTTCCAGCTTCTGGTTATATCTTTTCTGTGCTAGTTGAAAAAACTCTTTAGCCCTTGAGTAATGTCTCCCCATGGCAGTACTAGTTTATGATAATATAGCCAGCTTTCCATTTTCCCTTTGAGAAGCCAGATAGATAGAGGTCTTTAACTCTTCTGTTAATGGCATTTGAGAACTGCAAAAGTTTTCAAAATACTTTTATAACTCTTTTAATCTTCCTTCTTTTAAGTTTTCAGCATCTTGTTAAGAAATAGATCCTCCCAAAGTCTGTTAACATTTGAGCAATGATCTAATGTGCAGGTACAAGTAAAATGGACAACCCACTCCTAGGCTATATTTCACTGTTTGTGTATCCAAATATCACATCAATTAAGTTTTCTTGCTGCAGTGTCCCTTCTGACAGCTGGAGTTGTTAATCTACTACAATACTGAGATTCTTTCCTGAAATGCTGCTTTCTAGAACATGATCCCCAAACCTCTAACTTGTGTTCTTTTTTCTCTGAGTTATAACTTTGCAATTTTTGCAAGGTCTAACTTTGCTAATTGATCCAGGCATTTCATTATTTTTACTCTGCCAGTGTCATCTGCAGAACTGCTGCGCAGTAAATTTATGTTTCCTTCCCAGTCTTTGATAAAACTTTTGAAAACTAGGTCTAATGTCTGCAGAAGCAGGGTATACTGTAAAGACACGTTGTCAGTCTGACCTGCTGCTTTAATGATGACTTCTGTTTGTGATCAGTCAGTCTAGTTAACTATATTAATGCTGTATAAATGCTCTGTGTCACTAAGTCAAACACCTTACAAAATTCTGAAGCTATTACGTCTATGCAAGTATCAGCCAAAGCTGCAACCTTGCCTAAAGAATGAAATCAAACTTAACACCTATTTTCATACAACCATGTTGCCCAGCATCCATAGCTCTGTTATGTAAAGCTGGGCTGGTCTATGGCTATCTAAGTCTTTTTATTTCTTCCTCTAGATATTGGCAAGAGAGCATCTGGCATTTTCCACATTTTCCACAACATTGATAATTTCCTTGCTGTTCCATGACGTATTCAACATATCATTGGGCCAGAGCTCTCTTCAGATAGCTCTTCAGTTTTCAGTGCAAGTTAACTGAGCCATAAGCTTTTAAAATGTTCATCCCAAGCTGACCTTTCACAGTTGTGCGTTCAATAATAGACAAGAGGTATTGCCTCCTCTGCCTTGTCTAATCCTAGCACATCATCCTGCTTTTTCTTCAACTGAGGGAAATAAATTACTGAAAATTACTACCCTTTCTGTTTCGCCATTAACAATTGTTCCACCTCTAAGAGTTGATGTGAATATTGTTATATAAGAAGCAAAGCAAACTGGGATAAAATAGAAATTCAAACCAGTAATTTCAATCTTCAATAAATCCTTAGTCATATTATGCTATATTGTATAAAATACTTATTTAGGACTTTTAATTTACACTGGTTAAATGTTCATTCTGACAGTACTGTTACTTTTAGTCTGAATTTTTTTACTTCAATATTTCATGCATGTCTTCCTGTTTTATCTTCCAGATTCCTGTCGCTGTGACACAGATAAGTTCAACCAACCACCCAGTGAAAGTGGGACTCTCCGATGCATTTGTGGTCGTGCACAGGATCCAGCAAATTCCCAGTACGTAGAACTGTAGTCATGCTAATGGCATGAAGGCTGAGAAATGAGTATAAGCTGATTTCATCTAGGATGATTAGCTACGCAACAAATCACTTAGCTAATTTCAGTTTGTTAATCCAAGTGTAATTTCATCTGCTTGAAAATTCCCAATGTGGTTTTCTTTGTTTCTTTTGAGCTGATAAATTAAGTAAATAAAACTAAATGGCCAGCCAAATAATGTAAAATTAAACTGTCAGCCAGCACATTTTTGTATTCCATAAGATACTTTATCTGGAATATGTCTCCATATCCATAGTAGGGAAGAAACAACCTGTTCAGAAAAATCATCTCTATCCAAATAGAGAAAAATATCCAGACTAGAAGTTCTTGATACTTTACATTCTGAACTTTAATTTGTATATACATTTTAGTGAGAGAAAAGGAGAGGAGATGTAGTTATTAAATAACATCTTAGTCATAGCAACAGTAGTGCAAGTGATGTTTAATTTTCCCTGGCTTTAATTATACTTTGTATGGCTTGACTGAAAACGAATAGTAGGAAATCAAGTGTAATTTCCGTGATGCTTTGTTGTAACATACCATGTACAGAACGCTTTGAGGTTGTTTAGCCATTACAGAGCATGCTCGCTTCCCAAGTCTGCTGGTTTTATTTAGACATTTGGAGCAAATTTACTGAGTTCAGTTTTTTATGATCCACTAATAGCAGGGTGTAGATGGAAGAAGCTGCACTTGAACCAGCCTCCTAGGACTGAGTCAAGGCTTATGCTCCTATAGTGAACCCTGACAGAGGTGTGGTGCAGATAAGGCTCATAAGGACTGACCTGATCCAGCCTGTCTTTAAGGCAGCCTGCAGATGGGGCTGACACTGAAATTGCAGGTACTATTGCCTCTCAGCTCATCCTATCCCCTTATCACATTTAAAGAGTGTTTGATATGAGGGAGTATAAATCCTACGTCTTGTATGTCCTGCCATGAGGAAGATGGAAAATTTCAGTACCATCTGTTGCTTGTTGTGAACTCAGAGTAGTGTGAAGGAGGTTGACATAACCAGATTTCACTTAAGAGATCAGGCACTGGAAGAAATTTGTTTCTGAAGTATGACAGATAGTTGTGATGTGCCTATGGTCGCATGGATTGCTTTTGAGTGCTTAGGAGCAAATGAATCTAGGCAACCTGTTTCAGCAATTTGAGTGATGTTTGTAAGTGAATGATCTGATTAATTCTGTGAGTCTTCAGCTTGTAATAGCACCTAAAATGGATTCAGGTGGAAATTAGGTTGATTGATGGTTTATGAGAATAGTCACACAGAAATTCAGTATAAGAGATGCAAGCAGTATGCAGATCTTTTGGCATCAGGCCTCCATCATCAAACACTAAAGGACTTATTTTAGATTTATATATTTTGTATGTAAAATATATGGTATATGTGAGTCTTTATTCTAGTTTGAATGTTTTTCTGTAGCAATATTTCAGACATGCACCTTGTTTTACTACCACTGCATAATGTTGGTTTTGATGAATATACAGTTACTAGTCTTCTGGTTTTAGTATTTCTGTAAACCTTTTTGTCACATGACACTTTCTACTAAGTGAAGTGACTGTAATTACCAGAAAATTTGCCTAGTCTTTCATCTTAAACTTACTCTTTTCATTAAGTTACATTAAGGAGTGGCAGATAAGAATAATAAAATGTGGGTAAAAAGTCTAAAATGTGCCACTGCAGCAGCCATTTTGATAGCATTATTTCTGTACTGTGTGTAATGCAGTGTTTTTCCTCCTTAATGACTGGTTCTGTGGATGGTGGTAATTCATTATTATTTTTGCTAGTTTGCAGCTTACACTACAACTTGTGTTAATCAAGGGAACCATCAGTTCACAGTAGATTTTCCTGAAGCTAAATTGTGCTTTCAATGAAACAGGTTTATATTAGTATGTACAGGCAACATAATAGCACCCTGACAGAACTGCTAAATAATGTTGGCCCATGGAGAGCCAGTGTCAGATGCTTTTAAAATATGCATGTTCTTGCATTCTTGTTTTTCAGAAGTGTTAAATCAAGCATGGCTCTAGTCAGTTACTGAAAAAGTGATATGATATAATTGTTGTTTTACTTTATTTGTTAGCTCCTTAAGTCAATGGAAGAATATTGCTGTTCGTTTGTCCTGAAAGAAGGCAAAGATAGTATAGTTATTAGTTCTTGCTTACAACTTTAGCAAAGGCTTTTCCATCAAGAGAACCCAGTTTTCCTTTATGTTCATGGCTAGTTGTAAAAAAAAAAATATATACATCTTGTATTTGAAAAGGAAAAAGACACTAAGTGCAACACAACCCTATTTGAATCAAAATATCCACTCAGTTTTCAAAAAGGCTGAATGTCTTTGGTGCACTCTGTATGCTCAGCATTCTAAGATTTCAGTATAATGGTCCTAGTTTTATTGAAGTAATTTCGGAAGATTTAGAACTAACTATTTATCAGATTTTTTCAGACATACTGTGCAAAACATTAGTAATAACTTTTCTAATAGTTCTGAAAGGTGAGTTCTAAAGCCGGGCGAACCTATTCCATTCTCAGGGGAGAATAACATGCTTTTTGATCAGCCTTGTCATTTCAAAAGTGCATTTTAATGAGTGCTGAAAAGGATCCTCTTGAAGAGCCAAGAGCAAAAAGAAAGGATTTTCTGAACTTTTTGGAATGGAGGACCCTGAGCATTTCATACGTACTTTTGTTAATATATTCCTACATATAAAGGCTTTGCAGTAATACCCCTTTCATCTATCCCTAAAAGAATAGAGGTACTCACATTTTTTCACCTTATCTTTTAAGAGTTAGAGCACAGTGATGGAAAGTTTTTGGCAGGTGACTTTCTGCCTGTTTTCTATGTTTGATTTTTTTTTTCTTGATCTGTTACTACTGCTTACATATAGATAATGTCTTTACTTTCAAACTTATATGTGGTACTATTATGTTGATGCAGGTTGGCCACTGTTTTATATCTGTGTGTATATATATATGTATAGATACATATGCCTGTATATACTCTACAGATGCTTTGGAATGAATGGTGATGTGTGAAGGGAAGCGAATTTTTGCTTGACACCAAGGTTAACAAGAAAAGCCTTAAATTCTGAGATTTATATGGCAGCAAAATGGCAAACTAAGTTCATTGATTAATTTCAGAGGAAATGTTTCTGCTTCTTCCAGGTAATTCAAGTGAAGTGGGCCAGGTTCTGGACCTCTGCTTCTAATTTGTCCAATAAGTTAGAGGGACTATCCTGATTTCTTCTTCTTCAGACAGGCTGAACACTTGTACAATAACTATTTTTCCTTTTGTAACAAAGACACTAAGAATGTTTAATGGATGTCTTCCAGTTAGACAACACATGATTGGTGAAGACAAAGCTGGAGGATAGCTTTACATGTTCCTCCAGCAAGTCTTCTCCCTTTTTTTCAGGATCTTCATTGCATGAGGAAACTTGTCCTTGTCCCCTTGTAACCACCTTCTCTTCCTTGCTCCATCTTATTTCTTATTTTTTCTCAGCCATCCTTGGCATTCTGTTCTTGGTCCTTCTTTCAGTCACCTATGGTGTCCTTTGCTCTCCCTACCACAGACTCCCAAGATCTCTCTCTAATTTCATGTCCATCTTTCTTCCCCTACATCTTTCCTTTCCTTCAGGGATAGTATGTTTCTCTCCTTTGTTTCAGTGCTCTCTTCCTTTTTGTCTACCAATTGGCTTCTTAATTGTGCATGAAGAAATGAAAAAGCATTTCCTGCAACCCATTATTTTATTTTAGCAATGAAAAAGCCCACCAGTGAGCTTGCCCAGATTGTGCTTTGTTTTCCACAAAACCATGAAAAACACTGGTAAAATGAGAGAGTGCCAAATTCAGGTGGTCTACATGGTGAGTTACTAGTCTTGCACCTATAGATAATGGCTAGGTTTTTCTTGACCATGAGACATACTTCTCCATGATCTTGGCCTCTCCTGTATTAAGTACAGCTCTTTTAGGAGATCCATACCTTGACAGCCCAACATTTAACAACACTGAAATTACTCAACACTGTATACACAAATGAAATTGTAGCTGAGCTATGTGTTAGTAATACTCCAGTTTCAGTGCAATTAGTGCCACTCAATATGTAGTGTATCTCAAGCATATAATTAAGTGACAACTCTGCGTGTTATAACTGTTTGCTGAAAATTTCTCTCCAGTTTGTTTACAGCAGTGAGGCCTCTGAAAGAACCTTAGCATTACCTGCCTGAAGGGTGAAAGAAGACTAGCAGTTTATGTTTTTATATTTATTGTATAAAGGTGCAGCACCATCTGAGAAATCGCAAAGTCTAATTTGCTGCTGCCTTACTGGTAACGCTGTCATTTACCTACTGTGCAAAGTAGGCCCCAAAGTCATCGCTCTGAATTCACAGTATTTATTCTTGCTTTCCACTAGTGTAACTAATTCCGCAGAGTGCCAGCTCCTCAGCCCTGCATGTTTGTCTGCTGGACCAGAAGGATTTAGCTGGGCAGCTGGGTTCCTTGGCACTAGATGTCCCATTCAGGAGCAATGAGAGAAAAGGATGGGCATGCTGCCTGTCTTTAGTGGCATAACAGCACTTCAGGGACTGGTATGAGATGATCAAAGTTTAAAATGCTCTCGTTTTAGCCAAAGCCTTAACTGGCCATCAACCAATCTCAGAATTAGGCAGTTCGGTTCGTGGTGTCTTAAAGGGATAAAGCATATTTTTCACACCTAGATCCTGTACTAAGAGCAGCTGAACTGGCATCAGGAATTGGGGTAAATCCGAAAGGACATGGAGAGCTTCAAAGTAAATGATGTGTGGTAGACACAGAGCGTTGGTGCAGAACAGTTTTTTCTACATTGTTCATAAAGCGGGTATTTTCAGAGGCTACTTCACTGTTTTGCCTATTCACAGATTATACGTCTTTGAGGTGCAGCTTCCAGGTTTCAAAGTATTTTTTTAGTAACTTTTAAGAGAATGCTAAAATTAATACAATTAGGGAATCTGAATTTTGATCTAGAATCAGACGTGTAATAGTCGATGACCAAGAGCAGTTGTGATGGTATTTTGATTACAGGCATGTTTGATCTGTGTCAGTGCCTCGAGAATTAATTAGTTAATATTGAGAAGTTTAGCAACATGAAGCTGTTAAAAACAAAGAAAAAAGATTGCTTTGACATTCTGATTCCCTTACCTTTTGTGGTGATGGCTGGCAAAATATGTATTTTCATGAAGAATTTATTCAGCCAGTGGTCCTAAACAAAGTCCCTAGCAAGCAAAGCCAGTGGCTGTATAGTACAGCAGCTGTGCCCCACTCCTCTTTATCTCTTATATTTTTTTTCACAAATTGCTTGCAGTGTAAGCTGGCTATGTTTCATAAATTGTTTGCTTCAAATTGACTTCTACATAATCAAATGCATCCTCTTACCATTTGTGTTTTCTCTATCAGCTAGACTTAAAAATGAATGTGCAGCCATATGAATACATATGGCCTTGTTTAGTAGGTTTTGCTGGGTATATGTCCAGTCTCAATTCCCTAGAAATCTTTCAATGACAAAGATTTTTATTTGTGTGAACATATGATTTAAAAAATCAGACTGACTTCTCCAATATTTTCACATTTCACTGGGTTGCAGGTTTTAGCTGAGGAATGCTGTATGAGGAAAAGTGATTATGTGATGGAAAAGTACCAGAGAGATTGTGCATCTGCCGGACACCTATTTAGAATGGTTTATTGCTAGCTACTGACCTTTCAGGTATGTTAGGAAGTCATTGGTGCTCTTCTGGCACAGCTCCATGTCCAGAGTACTCTCCCTATCTAGTACATTTAGTTAACTCTGGCAGTTCTGTTTCAGAGAGTGTTTATATGCCATTATTTAGTTTAAAACTACTATGAGAAAACTACATAGAAATGTTTCATCGTGCCAGAATCTTGTATATCTATAATTTAGTGATCCATTGCTTAATACCTTGAAAGGATTCTTTCAATTGGCCTCCCGACCCTCAATGTTATCTCTCTAGGTCACTGGGGAATGTGCTTACCTCAAGTAGCTGGTGTTTCCTTCAGCTTTTTCTGCTGGGACTGTACCTTTGGCCTTGTATTCAAAGATAGCACATATACATGCCACATAAACAAACCAAAGAACAATTTAGACCATGCTGTAAAGTAAAACAAATGTAAAAAAATAGAATCTGTTCTTGAAAAAAATTATATGTTATATCATTCAGTTAAAAAGGGTGTTTGAGTTACTCAGACCTACAGAAAAGTAAAATATTTTCATGACTAGGAGAAGAATATATACATATTTTCTGAAATTCAGAAACAGGAATGGTACTTCAAAAGTATATATGTGTGCAAAAAGTAGTTTTCCTTTCTTCCCTTCCCTGATGTAATGCCTCTTTTCAGCAAAATAGCTGCACATGAAATATGTGGGCTCATAAGCTCTTTGTGATTCTGCACTTGTACTTGTTTGTAAAAGAGCTAAATAGACAGCATAAGACAAAGAACAAATTCCACCTGAGTGAAAGGCAATATGTGTCTTGGTTTGGAGCAGGAGTGTGTGTGATGAGGTTGAGGGGGAAAGCGTCAGGGGAGTATTCATTTTTCTGCTTATCCTGTTGAGTTTAGCTTCTAACCTGTTTTGTTAAGGGGATACAGGCTTATAATTCTAAATAGGGAGGAAAAAATGTATTTTGAGGAGCTAAGCATGGCATATTTCAAGTCGGACTTTCAAAATAATCTGCACCTGCATGTTTTTACAACCTGACCAGACAGATAAATTTGAATGCTCTTGTTTCCAACCACCTACCTGCAAGTATATACAAAGCCGTTAGAAGATGCCTATGCAAATGCCTCTCTGTGCTTAGGTTCCTTACAGTAGATAGATCTCTTGTATGCAAACTTACCATCTGTGGTTTGGCAGTCTTCCTGAAGAAGAAAAGATCAAACCTGAATCTACCAGGCAGTGGTATTTAATGGGATCAACAGTCATGCTGAAATATGCATGATTAGACATGATTTTTTTTTAATAACAAACTTAATTCTCTTAAAATCAGTGCTTTTTAGAAATTTCATGCACTGAGTGAGATAAAAGTGCCTGTGATCTGAGTCACTGGTTCTTGCTGGATTTTTGGAAAGCCAGAAGCTCCTTATTTCTTGTAAATCCTATGAGGAGTCTGTTAGGAAAAGTTCAGAGTAAACAGGATTATAGCATGCCAGTCTGTACCACTAATGATGAGATGAAATGGAGTTCAGTTAAAGGCTGGCACCCACCATTTTAATTTATGTATTCATTTGCTTATTTTTTTTTTGGACAGAAGGATAAAGATTTCCATGGAAACAAATTACAGCCTTCAGCATTGACAGGAGTTCATTTCAAACACATTTTCTGATCACTCTGATTTGGCAGGTGCTTTTATGGGACTTACCATCCTGGAAGCATAAACTTCTCGCTGCTGGCAAGAAATTTTCCCCACCCCAGCAAAAGATTAACCTTGTCTTGAAAACCCTTTCTGTCTAATGGGTTTGAAGTACATGGCTAAAGCATTTATTGGGGTAAACATTTGGCATATCCCCATATCTGTCTTTTATCTAGTCAGAGTGAGTTTACAGGTAATACATAGAAGTCGCTCAATTATAGGTACATATCGTACTGAAAGAGAAACCCACTGTCAATAGGGATGAAGCCATAGCAAAGTCAGCTTCAAATAAATGGCAAGAGGAACTGCTTAGGAAAAGTGCTGATTTGGAGCTAAATAGAAATATTATTGTCTGAAAGACAGATACTGCCTACCTGTGCCTAGGAGCTTATGCAGTGACATAGGGCAGAGAAGCTGGTTCACCCGCAGCAACCCTGGCTGATGCAGGAAAGAGTTATCCCACCCAGCACAGCTGTGCTTCTGCCTCCTCGGAGATTCCCCTATTTATTCCAACTGACACCGATAGCTTGATGGTTATTTTCTGTGGTGTAGTGTAAGGGGGATTCCCACACTTGTGCTTTTAGAGATTGGCCATCCCTCTTTTCTTAGAAAGCCTCATCTGCTTAAGCCATGAGGCACTGTAGCCACAGTACACCTTCGCGTACTTTCTCTCTTCCCTTAAAAAATAGTGTTTATTGTTTGATTGATTTTAGTTAAGGTTCCATTTCCTGTCTGAGAAATGCCTAGAACAACCCTCCTACATGAGATTGTGAAAAACACTTTGGATTTGGTGCTACGTGATTGCTTAACAGCTGGGGAGCCCACATGAGCCCTCTTTCAGTTGCAGAAACACAGCCTTTATACCAAGGAACAGGGTGTGCCCGAATCCATATAGGGCTGGCAACAGAGAAGACTGCCTAAGATTGAGTTTGTGGCTGTCTGCAGTTTGTTTTCTTCTGTTGCCTGTAGACTCCGTCCAGCCATTGACCAGAGTAACCGGTTAATCTTTTGTGTGTAACCCTTTATTCCTCTCCGATTCCCCTCTGGAATGATTCCACAGGGTCAGTGATTGTATTTAGCATTGGTTTCAGTTAGCTTAACAGACCTTCAAAAGGACATAAATTTTTATCCAGCACAGCAGAAAACCATCATTATTCTGTCAGATTGGCAGTATAGACTGTACTTTTAATTTGCAAATGTACAAGCTTGCCAGTCTGCATTGCAGCTGTGCACTTATAATCCCAATATTCAGAATACACGATAGGATATTGATCTGGAAACTAACAATTATGTGATTTTTTCACACTTATCTTGTGCTTGGGTCTTACAGTTGTCTGTGTGTTCAAAACCCATAACAACGGTCCATTGACTATATTGAATTTCTGCTTTGAGAAACTTGGGCGCAGTCAGCTTATGTAGAGATTATGTATAACATTGGCTGTTTAGGAAGACTTGTCTTCTTTAACATAATGTTATAATATGAAAAGATGTTCTAGTGCATTTAGATGTGAGCCAACTTATAGCTAACAAATTTGATTAAACAATGAAATCAGTTTTGTTTGCACATCTTGGCAAGAGCTGACAAAATGAGCATATAAAGCATTTCTCTCCAGTCTGTAAACTGAGAAATGTCTTAGGAAAGCAAGCATCTGAAATATACCCTAAAATGTCTGACAGTGTAGTCTCTAGAATTTCTGCCTAAATGAATGACTAAGATGCTTGAGAGCACACTCAGCATTTTCATAATCCTTTACCGGGAATAGGTGCCTATTCTGTCAGCTCTGATGGTTTCTGAGGTGAAAAATTCTCTACCTATACTTTTTAAATGTTCCTTCCTGATGTCTAAAGTTAGAAATATATTCTTGAGGAAAATCAGTGCCATGTGTGCACCTAAGGAACAGTGAGCAATCATTACATCCACTATTTTTCACAATCTACAAACTGTGAAGTAGTAAAGTGTGAAAATATTTTTATTTTTCTTTCCTGATAGATGTCCGTAGAAGAACAATTTATGAGTACCACAGAGTGGAGCTACAGATGTCAAAGATTACCAATCTTTCAGCTGTTGAAATGATACCACTTCCAAGTAAGTAAAACATACATGGGCAGGAGCCAGATCTGGGAAGAACCCTTCTCCCTCTCCCAGCAACACACACACTATTTTAAATATTTTGTTTTATCTGTGGAATTGGAATCATGAACAGATTCATTTATCTTCTCTCAGATTTATTCCCAGATGGATGATGCATTATCCAGTGCCTCCTCTTGTATCTCCAGTTAGTTTATAGGTATATAGCTCCCGGTACGTTTTGAATGAAATTTGTGCCAAATCATTTTTTCAGAAGAATTATTATATTGCCTTTAAATTTGTTTCCTCAAGAAAAAAAAGAACAGTTTTCATGCTTTCAAGGCCAACACTAATTCTTCTGTGTACTGTGCATCACATTGCAAAGGAATATCCCCAAACACATTTTGCAGTACATCTGCCTCTTTTGTCCAAGGTAAAACTACATTGTTTAGAAATCTCTGGGTGTAAACTGCCATTTTTACTACTGTGAAAAAAAATGGAAACAACTATTTTTGGTTTTTCTAATCCAGTGTTGTGCAGTTCTTGCACACTTTCCTGCCAGTCACCTTATGTGCTTATGTCTGAATGTTAGCAACACCAAGGAGCACTGGAGCCAGGGAAGAAAGGGATTTAACAAAATACTTAATATTAAGCAAAAAGATAAAAATTTAGCAATGAAACTGAATGAACAGATGTGGAAGTGGGAATACATTTACAAATGGAATACAAGTGGAATTCTACAGATAAAATGTACCTTTGTGCAAACAGTTGTACAATGCATTGTAATAGGCTGGTTTCAGTGTCTTATTTTGGACATGTGTGAACGTGTTGAGTCCATAAATATATGTTAGCAGAAGATATATCCTTTTTTTTGTCCTTTTTATGACAATTATTTGTGGGACTAATGTAATAATTTGTGTTCGTTTATCTATGTCCCAGCTTGTCTCCAGTTTACCAGCTGTGGTCCGTGTGTCACTGCCCAGATTGGTTTCAACTGCAGCTGGTGCAGTAAACTCCAAAGGTAAAGAAAAGGATTTTTCTTTTTTGTGTGGGTATCCAGCTCTGCTCAAAGGATGTCCAAAATATTGTGTATAGGTTATTCAGCACAAAGGGTTGTTACATTTAGGTCTTATATACATGCATTCACATGAACATAAACCTCAATTGCAATCCCTAGCAATACATGATTGTCCCATTTCACTTCAGCAAAGAAATCAGGCAAGAATAGTCAGAAAAGTTGTTTTGGGAGTTAAGCCATTGTTCCTATTTCCTTAACCCTACTCTAAAATCCTTTTGAAGGAGAACAAGAAGTAGAAATCATAATAAAATTGATGTTTTCTCCCTACATCCCTGGCTTTGTCAAAAATAATTAAACCACATGGAGATGCAGAGTGGTAATGTAACTATAAAGACATACTTGTTCTCTTAACAGTAGGAAGACCAACACACCCAAAGAGTCAGATTCTTTTCGAAGAGTCGAGGTATGATGGGTCTCTTCAGCCACTCACTGCCTCATTGATGAGGACAGTCAAGTCAGTAGCAGAAGTTTAGACCCTGGAACCGCTGGAGCACAGACAGCAAAATGGAAACACTGCAGCTGTAGCTTTTCCAAAAAGTTCTTCACTCACTGACCTTCATTGACCTTCCTAGCACGAATTTATTTAACACCAATTCTCTAATACAAAATGCAGTATCATAACAGATATTTATTGTTATTGTGTTTTTCAACCCTAGTGATTAGGTTCAGAAATGTTATATATGAAATGGATGCATAATGAAAGGAGAAGAGTCTATTAGCATTCTAAAGTAGTGCAATAACTTGACACCATGTTGAAGAACTGATAAATAGCTGATGAACGTGGTATGGAATTAGGAACTTGGGGTCACTTTTACTGTATTTTCTTAAGCTTCAACTCCTGTAGTTAAGTCATTTGAAGAGTCACTCTGTTCTCAGTTTGTCTTGCAAAAAACCCTTTTTAGTGGAATTAGAGCCACATGAAATCATGTCACAGAAAACATATCAAATACCTTCAAGAGTAAGGATACTTGTAGAAAACTGTTCCAAGCATGCATTTGCTTGCTTTAGCTGAATTTTTGCTTTCAAGCATTGCTTGATTCTCCTTCCATTAACAAATGTTGTAGAAATGAGTTTCTGTTGGCTTTGGTTTGAGCAAGGTCTGTTGATTTGTGGCCAGTGTTCTTATTTCTGTTTATCTAAACTCAATTATAAGGTAACGTTCAGACCTCTTGTGAAGAACAGGCAAACCTTGAGATCCTTTGTGTTTTTCTGTAGTTTCTGAAGAACTGAGTTTCCTGAGTTCTGGAGTTGCTGGAAAATGTGTTTCACTCACTGAGGAACAAATTAATTGTGGAGAACTAAAAGAGTTTTATCCTTCACCTTTAGCAGGAAGCAACACCAGGCATGTAGTCGCACTGTGTTCCCTTCCATGTATTTAGGTGAATTTGTGGCTTTCCCTTCACAACTGCCAAGGTGTAATTTACTGCTGAAAAATATACAATCTCAACACACCTATTTCTATTCAATTAAATTTTGAATGAAAAAAATCTTGCTTTTCGTTTTGCCTGTGAAGATCACACTGCAACCAAAGGTGAACCTACTGTGAGGCAGTTCTGCACGATTTCCCAAAAACAGCTGGCTCCATGCTGCAGCATGGTTGTGCCTTTGATGAGCTTGAGCAGACAGACTGAACAGTTTTATTGCTGTTAATTAGCCCATTACTGATAGTAGTGAGACTGTCATTTCGTGCAGGCTGTGTTTGGACATTGTTTGACAAGCAGCAAGAGCAGGAACTGGAGTCGATTCCTTTAAAAGAGGATGGATCCAGAAAAGCAAACTAAGATTATACCTTTACATGGGAATTTCAGTAGTTTAAAAACAGTCATATCATCCAATTTGCATCTATAAGGATGAGTGATATTCAGCCAGGTTTAAGCAAATGGAGAATTGTGTACAGAATCATAAAATAGTTCAGAATGGAAGGATCCACTAGAGGTCATCTAGTCTAACCTCCCACTCAAAGCAGGGACAGCTGTGAGATCAGACCAGCTTGCTCATGACTTTCTTCAACTGGGTATTGAAAACCTCTGAGACTATGGTTCAGTTGCCTGAACATCTTAATTTTATACTAGATTTTACACCTTATTTTTTAAACTGTTATTTCCTCCAGAAACATGGCTTTGGTGATGATGTCTGCCTCAGGCCCCGTTGCCTTTCTTGGCCACTCTCCTCCAGCTTCTGGAATGAGCAGCTTATTTCGAGTAATTCAGTTCTACAGAGAAACAGATCTGTAATAATAAGTGGATATATACTTTGTGAAAAGAGGCAACTTGCTTTCCAAAATGTGAAGACTGAGCATTTATTTAGTTAGGGTACATTACACTGCAGGATCATTGTGATTAGGACTCATTCCTGTCTCAGCTTTGACAATTTTCTGCTCCCTACCAGTTCTGGATACTCTCACCTGCCTTCTAGTTGAGTGCTTCTCTTCTTTTACTTTGCTATTCCTCAGTATATATACTCATTTTAGGGAGATACCAAGAAAAGCCTTATTCTGTTCTTAGTGGAGATGTCTGGATCACAGGGGAGTACTCAGAATCATTTACTTCAGTACCACATTATGGTTTTGCTCCCCTTAAAAATAAATTTGCTGTGTTAAAATGTTCTTTTTACATGTGATAAAGAAGCACTTGGTCAACAAGAAAACCTAACTATCCTGGTTAAAAATCATAAAGGATGGAAAGCTGTGAGTTCTTTCATCACAGTGCTCCAGCTTTTTCTGTGTGTCACAGCTCTTCAGTCACCAGCCTTGTAAATCAAACTAGACTTTTATCTGCTTTTGTAATATATATTGCACCGCTGCAGCCAAATAAAATCTGCTTGGAAAAACAAGGGCAAAGCATTACATCAAGTATTAACTTAGACATTTCAGAAGTGCCTAGAGTACAAAGAAAATTAATATTTACAGTCCACTTTCAAATGAGTGCTCATAAGGGCTTTTGAAGTAAGCAGAAGCAGGTGCTTAGGAATAATGCCTGAGTAGTGCTTCTGGGTTGCAAAGCTAACTGGGCACACTGGTGCGGGAGGTGAGAAACCAAAAGCTGTTTCTCTTGGCTGTACTACTCAACCCAGGCTGAGTAAGGCAATTAACCTTTGGAGCAAAATCCTGAAGGCTTTGAACTTGGTAGTGACAGGTTTCCAGTGTGGCAATAATCTACCAACTGATCTAGTGCTCCAGTTTCCGCAGAGGGAGAATGCCCATTTGCTAGTGGGGAGAATGTTAAAGAGCAGCGAGGGCCAGATATGGCTGTAACAGACAGTGATGATCCTCCTGTGGAGCCTCAGTAGCAGTTTGGTACTCTAAAGTGAGATCTTCCAGAGCAGACACACTTCCATGTGGGTAACAAGCAAACATGTATCCAGCGGCAAACAAAACTCTATACCAATTCTACAACCCTTTTCACTCAACAAGTTATGACCCTATTTAGCCAGAGCAACATTACTACCAAGAACAGCATTTTGTATATTTTTTTTCCTTGCATAAAATTTAAACCATATATTGAACCATTCACACAACAAAGTATACTTGTTGGAAAAACAGAAAGTTTATATAAAGCCTGTAACTGCACAAGGAAAATTGACCAGCAGAGCCATTGCAGAAAAACTGTACTCCGCCATGTGGGCAATCTGTGTTGGAATGAATATAACTTTATGCTACAACAGTGGGTTGTTTCCTGCCTGTAACTTCAGCCTAGCTTCTGTGCAAACTCTGCAGTCTTTGGAGAGGCAGGTTCTTCTTGTAGGTGATTCAGAGCAAAACCCTCTATTCCTGTCACTGTCTACAAGCTTAAATCACAGTTTCCCTTTTCATAAGCTATCATCAAACTATCCACTCTGAAATCCAATATGATGCATGTCATACAGTTTCATCATGACTAAAGCAAAGGCAGATCATTTTCTTACGACTTCAGCAGATGGAGGATCCTCCTGGGAGCTAATTTTTTTAAAAACTATGTATGTCCCATAACTGTTCCATAAGTAAAACTGTTCCATAAGTAAAATAGACTAACCATAAATATGTAAGCTAAGATGGTATCATAGCTTTCTCCTACACAAGGATCTATATCTATAAAATGCCAGAAACACTTAGCATCTGTCTCATAGTAGTCACCTGTGGCTGAAACTTGGATTATTTGCTCTTCATTATCTCTGACTTCCCAGCATGTAAAAACTGGGAGAATTCATTAATATTAGATCTGTTTATATCATCTTTTCATGCTTCTGAAAATGTTTATATACTCTAGACACTTTGTATAGCTTGCATATTAGAGATGTCATTTTCTAGGGAAGTTTTTGGAAGCTTTAACACAACTTTCCTGTTATTTTATAGGTTCAATTTGTACAGCTTGCTCACATTACTAAAATAGTGAGTTTGCCTAGAAATATTTGATATTAATTGCCCAAGAAATAAATTGTGTTTATTAACTTTAAAAGAGTTGGCACTGAAATAGAATGGAAATATGATGCTTAAATGATCAAGGAATTTTTAAAAGCCACCTTTATACAAAGTTTTGAAAATATTTGTGTTCAGATTCTGTAGATACTGATGTTTTTGTTTTGATGAAGTTGAGGAAAGTCTCAGATTTCAGCAGTGAAGTGATACTGATATTTCAGTGAGTTCAGAAATAAGCAAATAAAGAGCACACTCGTGTAATCTGTGCGTGCTGGAGACTCAGGTTTGGAATGTCTCATGCTTCACTTCATTAACACAGGACAAAAGCATCTCCCAATCCTTGCAACATCCCTCAGATTTAGCATGGTACTATCATCCCAGCACTGGAGATAGGGAACTGGAGTACTGAAGGACTAAGGGCAAGAGCTACAAACAGTTTAGATGAGAGTTTTATTCAGCTGTCACTATCGGTATCTATATTCAAATTTTAAATCCTCAAAACTGGCTACCTTATGCCAAGGGCACCCAAAAGTCTAATGGCTAGATCTAC